ACTGGTGCTGATTGGGAGTATCGTTGGTGTTGGTGGTGCGACGAGTCGAAGCGTACTGGACTGGCTGGTGCCGTGCATCGTTGAATTCTTGAGCAATGACGATTGGGCTGTAAGGAAGGCGGCTGCAGAAACTCTAGGGAGGGTGGCCGTGGTTGAGAGGGATTTGGCTGTAGATTATAAAGCATCGTGTATCAGTTCTTTGGAAAGTCGGAGATTCGATAAGGTAATATGTTGTTCCTTTGGATGCTTGGAAAATTAGGGATAACATAAAGAGACCAAATGGGAACTCTCTGATCGGGGCCGCGGATTTACATGTTAAAATTGAAAATAAATTTAACGGTTAAGCCGCAATTTAGTGTTCATTTCTTTTCCTGAAGCTTCTTAAACAATTTCGTATTGACAACGTATAATATTACAGATCAAGGTTGTTCGGGAGACAATGAACCAAACTTTGGAGTTATGGAAGGAGATTCCTGACGCTTCTGAAGATGTCTCTACTGCATCTTTGTCTAAATCTCCTCCCACTGGTAATTTATTCTACCATTGCTTTAGTTTGGGTTGGCCATCGAACGTCATTTTTGAATTGGTCATTGTTCATACATAATCGTCGTTTAAAGAATGTTGAGAATTGGATACTTTAGGTTTTTATTTTAATCGGAAGATGTGAAGGGAAGAACTAACCCTCTGGTTCGAAATCCTTGGATCTAGTTTTGTTATGCCAAAGTGAATCAGCTGTCAATATGATGCTTGTACAATCCAATGTTAATGGTCCCATTTCGTTCGCCAAGTTATTGAGCGAATTTTGCTTCTGTGAACTGTGAAGTATCACATTTTAATGTTTTTTTGTGTCCTACGGTTCAGATAATGGCAATGGTGGATGCTTTCCTCCCGTTTCCACATGCCCCCATGAAGACAGTTTGAGAACGCCATTGAAGAAAACAGTTCCCACTGGCAGGTCCTCTCCATTGGGTGTATCACGTGTGACAAACAATAATAAAAAGGTTAGTCCAAGGAGCACAGATAAGACTTCAAGCACACCAATATCCAAGCTGGAACGTCAGAAATCCTCCGATTGGAGCGTCGAAATTGCAGTATCAAACTCCCCCTCTTCAAAATTTGCTTCTGAGAACAATGCTGCTGGGAGTGGTTCTGGAAACATTGGTACAATCGGAAATTCCCATCTTAATGCAAAACGAGCTCTTTATAATGATATGCGTGACGAGAAAGTTAACAAGTTCAGCAATTTGAGATCTGGGTCTCGTGTGGTTCCATTTGAGGAGCATGAGAATAGAGACTCGGATGTTACTGTTGGCAGCTCAAGTGAAGAAACTTTCGGGAGCCACAAAGATTTTGAAGATATCTCTCTGATCCGTGACCAACTTCGTCAGATTGAGAACCAACAATCTAGCCTTTTAAACCTTCTGCAGGTATGAATATTTTCCTGAGCATCTCTATATAAACTACCGTATATTCTGTTGCATGTTACTCCTTTTTAGCCTTATGCACTTCAATATGGCCCCTGTTCCTTAATTCATCATCCTCAAAGTTCCTAATGCACAATGGCGTAACGGACTTAGTATACATGAGTTTAACATAATTATCATTACCACGACCATGCATGAATTATCTACACAATTTTTTTTATCACCTACTTCTTCTTTATCGAGTTTCACTATGAATTATAAATTTTCCTCCAAATGAGACTGAAAGCTTGGCATTTAATCATTCCAAGTTGGTCTTGGACTTCTCAACTAAATGTTCTATGTTTTATCTACGTTGAAGGTCAGAGTGTCGGTCACATTTGGTGGGTATGTAGGTCATGTTTGGCGGTGTTGGTGGTGGTTGGGGGGAATTATTTTTGTTTTTTCTCTGGATTTAAGTTTTAAGAACATATTTAAGTTTGAATTACCGTGCATATAAGATGTATGAATGGTAAGTTCACACAACAATGTTGGATAATGTGTGGTAATTGTGTTTTGATCCATTAGCACAGTAACGTTTTGTCCACTAGAGGTTGTCAAGCTGCCAATAATTTCTCGATGATAGTTAAACAAACGTTCTGATTTGAAAATTTTCTTTTTTCATATGGATCTAGAGCTTTATTGGGAGTTCCCAGAGCGGGATGAATTCATTGGAGAAACGAGTACATGGACTGGAGATGGCACTAGATGAAATATCTTACGACTTGGGTTTGTCAAGCGGACGGGTACCCAACAATGGTTTTGCCGAAAACTCATGTTGCAAGCTGCCAGGTGCAGAGTTCTTAAGCTCCAAGTTCTGGAGGAGAGCAGAAGGGCGGTATTCTAGTTCAAAGTTCTGTTCTACGGCACCGCCTAATGATCTGCATCACACCCCTGATAGAGACTCTGTTGCAGAATCAATTAAGCAGAACAGCCAAAGATTCTGGTCACAAAGTAGAGGAGGGTTAGTTGTGAATCCGTTGGCCGACGTCGATGGTGAACTTAGAGAAAACTTGGGGCAGTATCCGAAAAGATTACTGAAGTCTGTAATCCAAGAGGATGATGGTGTGCCTATTTACAATGCAAATGGGACTGATTAGGTTCCCTCAGTCATTTCAAAACTAGCCGTAAACATCTCATCAGCAGGTAATTGAATATCTAAATTCTTTGTAATTGTCTGAATGTTAAATTCTCTATCTCGAAATATAATCTGGTCTCTACACTAAAATGGTGTAACATCAATCACATTTCATGAACTCGTGCTTTCCATCTCATTGTTTCTGACTCAGAATCTGTAGTTGAACTCGAATTACTTATGTTATTTTCTTATTATCCTTTGATGTTCTGGTCTTCTCAACCGAGTCTGAACTGAAATTACCCATTTTTGAAGGCCTTTTCCTAATCAGAGCGAGCAGGGTGGTCCTGAAAAGGCTGAAAGCGACGAATGACCGAGTTCGTGTGGACGGATCTTGCGGAATTTGACTTCTCAGACTTGGCATTAACCTCAAGATTTGAAGGGAAGGTCTTCACGGAGGTCCTTTTCTATTATAATGGTGATGCCAGAGGCTGTCTTCTTTGCCACGTGAAACTGACAAGAAGAGTAAAATCTTTACTGTTTACTCCGTCTCTTTTCTGGCCTTGTCACTTCTCTTTCACACCTTTTCTTTGACAAGAAGGAAAAAAGAAAAAGAAAGAAAGAAAGAGCTGATCAGGCTTTGTATGTGTTGGCCAGTGAATAACATAAAATCAAGCACAGTTCTCTTTTAGATTGCTGAATTAGTAGCCGAAGAAACTGAAATGCATCTTAAATGCCACAAGGGGAAAATTTTTTAAAGATACTTTTGGACAGCCTCCTCTCTCTGTCTCTACCATAAACACAGAACTAAACATAGGCCAGACACTAGTGAAAAGTTTTGATATTATGATCCTTCTTCATAATACCAAATGATGAAGGGCGCCTCTGATTTTGATGCATATTTGGACCAGTGAAGAGCATGTATTCTTGGACATTGGAATCCAACACCTCTTCAATGTTCATAATAGATCTGGTGACAAATGAATCTAGACTTAATTTCAGATGCATGAATTGTGTATAGTTAAATTCATGAATCAGGAGATATATGAATGATCATGCCGAGACAGTGATGGGTTCGAATTCAAGAGAAGGTCATGGCGAGTATGAAGTAATAGTATTTGTATCATGTGTTTTTTGAGATATCTTTGATACATCACTTGTTGCTTCCAAATTCTTGTGAATGATCTTACTCACTTGAGTCTTGTGATTCTGTGTTATATTGTTTCCATTGTGTTTTATTGTGAGTGCCCATTAGGCTTCCAACAAAATGGCATTAGAGGCTGCCTTATTTGTTAAAGATGACATGGCTAGCTTGGCTTTCAAGATTCAATTGGAAGTATTTAAATGGGAGTGTTGTGTGTCTCACAAGATTTGTGGGAGATTATTGAAAGAGGGTACCCTTGACCTTTTCTTTTTTTTTTTTTTTTTTTTTGCAACATAAGGGAAACAAAACAATTAACAAAGCACATCCAAACACTCAGTTCTTAAAAAAGATGTCATTTCCGTCGACCACCCTTCCAAAAAGATCTGATTCTCTCGCTGGAAAGGCGGCACCGTTCCCATCCCTCTTTGTGAAGAGGACCGACACTAACGCTTCAGAAGGTAACAGTCTCCTCGCAACTGCTACAATCTCTCCCGCCTATGATAAATCTTTCATCTCTTGTCCAAATAGGTGAAAAATGCGAGAAGAATTGATTTCCAACTGAATCGAAAAATGTCCGAAGAATCAAATATGACTCCAATCATTGGCTGAGGTGAATTGCAAGAAGGGTAAAAAGATTTTACTCTTTATAAATTGTCGATAGAGGAACCTTCAAAAGGATTCCATTTGCAACTTCTGCAAATGTGATATGATAAAAATGGTAATACTAGGGACCATTTGGATAACCTTCGTTTTTAATAAATATGAACAAAATTCTGTTTGATAATTGTTTTTTATTTATTTTAATAATAATAAAAAGAAACATAAACACGTTAGTTAATCATTTATTGTTTCTGGTTTTGTAAATTTTAAATTAAAAAAGTAAAATTTTTATATGAAAATTATTTTTTTTAATTAAATATTCAAAATTATCTTATATTTATTTTTTAATATTTATTATACATTTTTATAAGTTAAGAATAATACAATAATGTTTTTATTTATGTTTTGAAAAAAAAAACTGAAAATGGGAACCGAACAAAGAAATTTGATTATGATATTTCTAATATTTCTACACAATTTTGAAAATGTTTTTGTTTATTAATAATGAGAAATGAGAGACAGAAATAATTACTAAATGCTTATATTTTTTGAAAATTAAAATAGAAAAGCAAGAATGTTAACAAATAAGTTGTTACAGTCTTTAGATTAGAGTTTGGTTCCATAAGAGGATAAAATGATGAAAAAGTGTGAAAGAAAATTTTTAGTTATGTTCGGGTGATTGTCAATAATTTGAGATCTAATGGAGAGGAAAGGTCAAAAAAGTCAATGATTTGTCTACCTTGCCTCTTGCCTCCTCTAATTAGTTCGATGGATTCTTTTAATTCCCAAACTTAAATTAAAATAAATTGATATTACATTTGAGTTGGAAGAAAGAATGATAATAGAAGTAGCAAAAATTATGAAAATAAGCAAAAATGATGTTTATGCAAGATTTTGCACAACGTCAAACTTGGTCAAGCTCGAACTCGGTCCTCGCTCCGACCTAAAATTTTAAGGGAAAACCTGCACAAAAGGCCAAAATCTCTCACGCTCAAGTCAGTAAGCAGCTTGGACTCAATATTAAGTTCGAGGAGAAATTCGATATCTAATGGTGGAATGAGACCCTCTATTTATAGGTTCAAGTTCCGATAGGGGTTACGACAGGCGGTTACCTTGGTCGGAATTGAGGTCGACCGTGTCAGATTTGAGCAGGTCGAACCCAGACACTTTACCCACGTTAATAACTTTATTTCCGGGGAGAATGATGAAATCATCCACCTCGGAAGGTTCCGAGGTAGAGCTATGTGGAACTTTGCTTTGGGGGCATCCCCTTGAAACAAATCTCTGTCCTCCACGTGGCAACCTGGTTTCTTCCCCCAAACATTGGCCCCCTCTCTGCCTGGCTCGAGCTCGATCTGACAGAAAAGTTATCTTCAAGGGAAACCAATCCACGTGGAGACTTCCGATTTCGAGATTATAAATGTTACCGTTGGAAAAACCTCGAAAACGAAACCGTCATGCGGCGCGTACTTGAGTACTTCCAGCGTTCGAACTTCTCCTGATCTGGATCGCCCCTTTTGGGACACGTGTTCGGTAGGATTGAATTTCGGGGTACTATAAATACCCCAAGACTTCAAATCCATTTTTCACGCTTCTTGAAATCTTGGAGTCCGACCGGAGCAGCTCGGAATCTTACTCTAGATCAGTCTCGTTCCTTTTCCTTTTGTTTCGTTTTTCAGCTTTCGAGTCATGTCTACGTCTTCCCATAGTTCATCTAGTAATGCAGCTCGAAGTCGGAACCTTTCACCTGAGAAGGCCTATTCGGTAGAAGAGTTTTAAGTAGGTTAGAATCCGAATTAGAGGAAGAGATAGACAATTTTAGGTTCTCCGAGGATGATGGGGATGATAGTGACACCTCCACCTCGGGTTAGGGTTTGGAATTCCCTTCCCAGATGTTGGAGAACTACCTCGACCCCCTTCGTAAGAGGTATAATATTCCGAATAATATCATCCTTAGGCTTCCCAAGGAGGGTGAGCATGCCCACAACCTCCTAGAAGGGTGCGTTACTGTATCTGAAGATGTTTTAGTACGGCTTTCGCCTGCCAATTCATCATTTGGTGCAAGAGTTCTCGAACTAGACTAGCTTCGACTCAGGTGGCCCCCAATGGGTGGGGTGTGGTCTTTAGCTTAGCTGTGCTATTTTGGCTAAGATGTCGCAAGATGGACGAGCTGAACCTCCCTAGGACCGACCAACTCTTAGCCTGTTTTGAAGTCAAGTGGATCTCCAAAAAACTAGGGCGGTACTACTTTTGTGCTAGGAAAGGTGCATGGGGCATTCTCAAAGGTCTGAGCTCCATTAAGAAATGGGTCGGAAAATGGTTCTATGCCTCCGGTGCTTGGTTAGCTAAGGATGAGTTTGACCAGATCTTCCACTCCATGCCCTGTAGGTTTGGGAATTTAGGTAAGAAGTCAAGTCAGTGTTTGTTCTTTATTATTCCTCTTCGTACTCTAACCCTCTTGTCTTTTTGTCTTCGGTAGTGACCATTAAACCTATGCCCCAACTTTCTCAGTCGACATTCGACATTTTGAAGTTCTATAAGGACAAGTTCAAGCACGACAAGAAGATTGGTACCCTCTTGACCGACAAGCTCCTCCTTGCTTTAGGGCTGCTTCATTATAATCCTCTGCTCGTCCCCTCCAAAGCCCATAGGCCCAACTCGGAACTTGGTGAGTCGTACTCGGATCTTTACTTTGGATGCGTCGAGGTTTTTATCTTTTGACTAACGTTGCTCTGAACTTTGAAGCAATGGTTTGCGGGTTTGACCAAGATGTGAGATGCAAACACTATCGCCAGGGGAAAACCTCCAAACTTAAAGAGGCACCAAGCCCGACTGTGGTCGACCATTCTACCGAGGTCGAGGTTGTGGACGCTCATCGGGAGGCGATCACTCAAGGAACAACGACACTCCCCAAGATCATGAGGTTCTTGACGTCTCCCCTCTCAGGGAGGTTCGGAGAAAGTCACCCAATAAGCCTAAAAAGAAGAAGAGGAAAGCTACTTCTTCAGAGAACGTGGTGGATGAGGTCCAAGCTGACCTATGGGGGAGCTGCTTTGCCAGGCTTACTGATGACCCGGAGGCGAGAATGGGCGCCACTTCGGACATCGAGATGTAGTTCAAGGTTGAACCTTCCAATGCCGGAGTGAAGGAGAAAGCTACGGAGATGTCAAACTCGTGCTTCGATCGGTGTTGGAGGAGAGCTTCGAAATTTATCAGCACTCTGGGTTCAGCCATCCAGCGACTACTGGACTATACTACCGAGGTAAGACCTGACTTGCGACCCTTTGGCCTTTGCCGCAGATTTAGCTAAC